GTATCGACCAAAATTAAGAAATATATCGTGATATAAATTTTTGCCATATCGTCCAGGCCTACTTTAAGGTTATGAAAAGCTGCATTAAGTGAACTGTGCAGCTATTACAACTATTTTTATACATACAGCCATAGGAAAAATTAAGAGACCACTTTATATTTTTAAACAAATCTGCATTTTTAAAACCTGCCTTAATCGTGGTTCTGCTGGCAGAAGGCTACACTTAGCAGCAGGTTGCTTCCAGGTTCAGAATTTCTAAGACAGCAGTACACAAGAAAAAGGTGAAGCTGGAGACACTGAGAATGACCAGAAACTAGTCAGGTCGAGGGCGGAAGCAATCTTCTGCTGCCAGAGATGACCATTAACTTATGCAACAGATTCTCATGAATCAGAGGATGACATCAAGTGACTTTCAAAAAAACATTAACATTAAGTGCAGGTGTGAAGTGTACTGCTAGGATAGTTTGCATCAGGCTCCTAGAAGCAGGACTGAAGTCCCATAAAGCAAGGAGGAAGCCCTTCATTATTGATAAACAGGGAAGAACCAGGCTTCAGTTTGCAAAAAAGTATACAGTTGTGTTAAAAAAAATAGCAGTCCGACAACACTAACCTGATCAATGACCGTTTTTGGTAGAAATTATATTTCTACATGGCAAATTATTTACTAGTAGGTGTAGTAGAGTAATGGAAAACCAACAGACCCAACAGTCATGACATGCATGCTGCTGATTATGTGTAAGAGAATCATTACTTGAAAGGGGCGTGTTCAAAATAATAGCAGTGTGAAGTTCAATTAGTGAGGTCATTCATTCTGTGAAAAAGTAGGTGCCAATTATGGGCTTTATTTAAGGAAGGAAGGCAGCAAATGTTGTACATGCTGGTTATAGTGCATTTCTCTCTGAAATTCTGAGTAAAATGGGTCATTCCAGACATTGTTCAGAAGAACAGCGTACCTTGATTAAAAAGTTGATTGCAGAGGGGAAAACATATAAAGAAGTGCAGAAAATGATAGGCTGCTCAGAAAAAAATGATTGCAAATGCTTTAAAATGGCAACCAAAACCTAAAAGACGTGGAAGAAAACGAAAAACCACCATTCGAATGGATCGAAGAATAGCCAAGATGGCAAAGACTCAGCCAATGATCAGCTCCAGGAAGATCAAAGAAGGTCTAAAGTGAGTACTGTTACAATCAGATGACGCCTATATGAAGCCAAGCTATCTGCAAAAAGCCCCCGCAAAGTCCCACTGCTGAAAAAAAGACACGTGCTGAAGAGGTTACAATTTGCCAAAGAACACACTGACTGGCCTAAAGAGAAACGTCACAACATTTTGTGGACTGATGGAAGCAAGATTGTTCTTTTTGGCTCTAGTGGCTGCAGAGAGTTTGTCAAATGACCCCCAAACACTGAATTCAAGCCACAGTACACTGTGAAGACAGTGAAGCATGGTAGTGCAAGCATCATGTTATGGGGATGTTTCTCATACTACAGTGGAGGGCCTATATATCACATACCAGCAATCATGGATCAATTTGAATACCTCAAAATACTTGAAGAGGTCAGGTTGCCTTATGCCGAAGAGGAAATGCCCTTGAAATGGGTGTTTCAACAAGATAACGACCCCAAACACACCAGTAAACAAGCAACATCTTGGTTCCAGTCCAAGAAGATGGTGGAAGTGGTCAGCCCAATCCTCGGACCTTAATCCAATAGAAAACTTGTGGAGTGACATCAAAAATGCTGTTTCTGAGGCAAAACCAAGAAATGTAGTCCAATCATCGTAGGCTGGAATACCTGTTCACAGGTGCCAGAAGTTGGTCGATTTCATACAACACAGATGTGCAGCATTTCTCAGAAACAGTGGTTATACAATGAAATATTAGTTCAATGATTTAAAGGAAAGTAAAATCTTAAAACATTTTTCAGTTCATACGGTGAATCTTTGAGTTTGTAAAGAAGAATGTGGACACTGCTATTTTTTTGAACAGCCTAATATTCCCTTTCCTTCATTTTCTGCAAAGGAATAACACAAATGTGATGAATTTCTCTTCTTGTTTTGATTTGAAATAGAATTTGTAGTGTTCCCAATGCATTGGCATGTATGGAAATAAAAACTATTATAAGGATTTTCAGCTTTATTCACTTTTTTAGACACACTGCTATTATTCTGAACACAACTGTATATTATTCACAGCTGCACACCCATAAATTGAGAAATGAGTGAAACAAAAAATTGTGCTGTGGTCTCAATTTTTTTTTAGATTACCC